GTTTCAAAAAATGAGGACTCTATTCTTCGGTATTACTCAAAAAATAATGCGGAGCTGGATACTCGTCTATTTTATAGTATTTTGCATGCGTTTCATTCAATATTATTTTTGCTGCACTTTTTAATTTCTGTTTTCAACTCTTCAGAATCTCAGGTGAGATATTTTGTTTTACTTATTTGATCAATCCATACTTTTCTTAGAATTTGATTTTTATCGTTTATGAAACAAAAATAGACATCATTTTTGAAAGCATATGTGGATATATTGTCTTCAGAATAACTTTCCAACCGATTTCAAACAGTTCGGAAATCAAATACTTCGTGCGATTTATTAATATTGTTATATTCGATAATTAATTCCTTAACAGAATATTGACATTGGTCTGGATGTATCTCTAGGCAATAAATGATAAACTCAATCGAACCTGTAGTTGCCTCGTCGATCAGACGACCAGGTATCTTAATTTTCTTAATATGTAAAATCTCTTTAAACAACCGCGATGATAACGCACCCTGATAGCTGCAACTCTACATTTCCAATTCGTTTTTAGATCTGTTTATACCAGCTTTCATTAACATTATCTATTATACGCTTATTTCTACCTTTCACTGTTGCAACAATATTTTGTCCTGTTTCTAATTTTTCAACAAAATGTACTAGATCTGACCACTTATTAATATCTTTTCTTCGATGATAATCTATAAACTCGTCAGATGTATTATCACCGCAAAAAAAACAAAGTTTCTCAAACTCGAAATCTCGAGCTCCGACGCTATCTCGACGGAATTTCGCAATAATATTTTGACACGCTTTTAAAGCAGTATCAATGGATCGTTGCCTTTTATAAGTATATTTATAAGTTACGTGTACATGCATGGCATCTTCATTTTTACAAATTTTTTCCAATTCGGTGTTTTTTATCTTTCCGTTTTTTGCTTGCCTCTATTAATAATGCTATATAGCTTCTTTCTGGACTGTTCCTATGGCTTTCTCTTCAAAAGGTTAATCGCAAAGTAAACAGAACGACCTTCCTGATTGGTCATCCATTATTACACAAATAATAATAAATCTGAAATAATGTAACCTAATATTAGATCATGCAATTGCAAAATAGTTAAATATTTATTAGCCGAAAACAAAAATTAATGTTATTTTAACTAGTTCAATGACCTATTGTTGCCATACCAAAAATATTATCTTAATTAGTTATTCATCATATTGATAAAAATGATATAAAAAATTTGATATGGTGTGTTATTCAACACTATGTTAAATAAACAATTTATATTAAATGTATAATTGAGTAATGTAAAATAGTTTACAAAAACTAAACCGTACGTAGTGCTCTATTACTTACTTTCATTTATTCACAGTCAATGAGCAATAATGTCAATTGTAAACATATTAAATTTTCCGTACAAAATTAATAATCAGAGTTCATATGGCATTTCGCCTACTATACTAAGAGCTAATTATTAATTTATATAGCAATTCAAATTCAACTATTATAAAACAATAAATTATGCAAAGTATAAATTGGTTGTGTCAAGAAAGTAACAGTTATTTCTAAAACAAACAAAAATTTGAAAATCTTGAAATAATGACGGCTAATAGAGAGCGCCAAAATTATGATATTAAATAATTATTTATTGTACCAATTGTTTACGCGAAAAGTAATATTTCGTCTACTTCAAATTAAAAAAATGATGAGAAAATGGAAAAATTTCGCTCGGTTTTAATTTAAAGTTTGATAAGTTAATAATTAAACGCATCGGATTTTTTGCAAAAGAAATCCTATCTTTGCTCCTTTTACACTTAGCGAGGACATTTTTTTGTTGTAAATTTGCAATAACTTAAACGCTATCTATCCGATTTTTACGGTCGATCTCTCATTTTGTAGGGTTCTTAGCGCCAAAAAAGAGTAAAAATTTTATAGCTTTACATCAAAAAGTTCAACTTCAAAAACGGGAAAACCGTTTTCAGCACTTGTTTTTCGCTAATTTGTTAACCGTGCACCACTTTTTTTGGTCTATTGAGCTATAATCTCATCATGCACCACGACACAAACCTTTCCTCCATGGCTCATACCTTTGTACAGTTATTGTTTATTTTAATAATTGGACAATTATTAAAGTGAAGTGTATCGATTGGAAGATTGGAATCTTATGCAAATCGAACGTTCAATAAATGAAGTTGAAGAATGTGTCATTTAATTTAGACATCTTTAATTAAAATACTATACAATTTCGAATAATTTCGACTATATTATCCGTGGAGAAAATTAGGCTAAAATATTATCTTATATCTGAACAAAAACAATTCATAAATACTAAACTAATAAGATTTAAACTTAAGATATGGTCTCTATATAGAGCTAATGATTTCATATACTGCTACGATTTATATTGAAAAAACTCGAAATATTCACTTATGCGTAACGTTCTCTAAATTATGAGAAAACTTTCACAATATCATATTTATTTTGATAACTATTATACTTCTTCGGACTTCATAGGTTAATTAAAAAATGTAGGATCATGAGCTACAAGTACTGTTAGATACAACGAAATTTGGGTACTAATGAGATCAATAATAAAGTTCCAAGCGTGATATATGTGGTTAAAAACAATAAATGTGAAATAAATTTTATTATAATAGGGGACTCAAAGCAAGTTTCCATTTTCTCATCTGCAGCTCAAGTAACACCGAAATATCTTATATTTTTACATCTTCAATACGTTATGACAAAATAGATAAACATAAAAACGATATATCTTTTCCAAACACGTTCACTACTTATAATACATATATAGAAGGCATTTACTTCTCGGAAACGAAGCACTTTACGAACAAATTTCTAGAGATACATATGACTAGAATATACTAAGGAGTACACCTGAATTTTTTCAAAACTACTTGAACAATTTCTGCAATTTATCAAAAATTGACAATTGGTAAAATCGAAAAAATTGATCCTAACTTTTCGAAAAAGTTCAGACATTCTTCGGCCAATTCTAAGCAATTTTTATTCTTAGATATTGTTTATAGAAAATGCTTCATTTCCACAAAAAAATCCATGAATATTTTGGCACATATTTTGCACTTCGGGCGGCATTTTGAAGTCTATAATTGATCAACCTCACTTTGACACCCTATATTCAACATTGTGTCCATGATCTTGCCTGGTTTCAAATTCATTCCAAACCAGAACTTTTTGAATACTCGATTTTTAGAGAATTGTCTTCTAATATCATGATTTTTTTTGTTTTGAATTATATTTTGTCATCCAAATAAAACTTTCTCGAGAATTTAAGTGGTACCATTGAAAAAGGCACACTGCAAACTATAAAAATACAACAATTGTTATTTTTTAATCTTGAAATGCTATAGCTGTCAACATGGAAAGAAAATTGTACGAAATTTGCTCAACTACGTATAAATAGGTTCAAAAATGTGTACACATTACAGAGATTTCAATGTCTATTTACATGGTTATTATAGTAACTACTTATCTAACAAATTACTTCTTGCTAAAATTTGATATTCATTTCAATAAGTCCCTATTCAACAAAACTTTATATTTACTCATTCAAAGATGACTACTATAATTTTATTATTATGTTACTTTATTCTTTCAAAAGTGATTATGTTATTAAATTATTTTTATAATTTGTTAAAATAAAATTTGTTAGATAGATTTCAACGTTTATATAATTAGAAAGCTGTACCTTAAATGAGAAAAAGATTTTGCTACTAACTTACGAAATGATAAATATTAATTTATAACCACCAGAGATATATTTCTTATATTTAAGATAAGAGAAAGCAACCGTATTCTAAGAATTTGAATAAAGATATAAACAAGGCATTAAATTCTATAGCAGTTTCCTCATTTTAATTTTAACAGAGTATATAGATGGTAATTAGTTTTGGTTTAAAAAACCAAATTTTCAGTTTAATTATTTGTCTAGAATTGTACATTAGTTTCATGTTTTAAATTACTATTTTTATGAACATTTTGTTATTGCTAAATTTTATCATTTACATATTAAAAATTTTCAAAATGATGAGAACAGAAATCATAAATTTAACGAACTTTTTTTTTAATATGTAGTTTAATTTATATTAATTGATATTATAAAAATTAAAAATCATAGGAAAGGAAAGTATAATGAAAACAAACTACAGGATGAACAAACTTTCGGTTCATTTAAGTTTCTATATTTTATTTTAATACCATAGATTATGTTCAAAGTCCATTTTAAAATAAAATTATGAAATATAATTAACAGTTACATAAATACTGTCATATATAAACAGATTTTTAATTTGCATTTTAATATTATCAATTAAAAAAATTATAATTTCTAATTATAACTTTGAAGTTATAATTACATAATAATATATTCCATTTGAAATACATCTTTCATCATTGTAGTATGTTGAAATATTACAATTGTTGGAGTGTTATAAAAATGTTTAAGTGAACAAAATAGAATGGTTTGCATTTGAGAAAATTCATATTAATTTTATTCTAAAATTGGTTTAGTTATAAAAATATAGATAATAAATCAGTAATTTACATACATTTTTTTTGCAATTCAGCAATTATATGGAAAGAAACCATCAAAATGCCACATCTATATTTTTCATGAAAACCAACTAAATTTACATGTAATTTATGCCAATCTATTATGCAAAGATTCCAATTTTTGAGTAAGTGTACTATAGTCTCATAAGCAAAAAAAAATTTGCTATATACAGGGTTATATTAAAATCTTTCCATACTTTCATACCAATCACAAATCTACCTAAATAAATTTGGAAAAACTGCGTTTTAAAAAAAAGCAGGTTAATACATTGTATATTAGTGGTGGTTGAGGTTAAGTTGATATCAAAATATTTTGAAATGGTTAATAAAAAATCCATTGAAATTGTTTTAAATATTCTTAAGAATTTGAGGACAATATTGAAAAATATATAGAATTACGTTATCATACCTGTAAGTCACAAAAGAAAGACTTAATTTTCCTAATAAGGAGATATCTTTACCAACACACGAATTAGGTAAAAACATGAAGTATTTCACTTACATATTTCTGAATAAATTATCCTTTATTCGATTTGAGATAGACGTCAGGTTTTACCAAGATTTATTTAGAAATATACTCTACAATACTATCTCCATTTGACATATAAATATCAAGTTACTTCTTTAATTACAAGGCCGCATCATAGCCTCACCATATGCTAATGTATATGTATATTAATAAAAGTACTGCTACATATACTCCATGGATTTGATTTGAGTATAAGAATTAAATTCTAATTCCAAGACCGTATACGTAACCAATAAACACGATCGCAGCTCTCCCTCGCTTTCGTTTCCATGAACATATGTGAACACACCCATCCCTCATCTCTAAATCATTCTAAACTCACAGCTTTAAAGAATTATACATCACATGACGAACTAGTAGGTCACTACCTGTTTTTTTTCGCCTGATTGAAAATTTTACAATTCTAATAATCGGAATTCATACAAAAAACTTTTTTCAACGTAAAAATCATCTACTATTTTTCTTAAATATTATATTATATGTTTATACCAATCTGCTTTAATGATTTTTTTCTAAGCTTTAGCAAATTGTATTATCTAAATAAAAAAAGCGTAGATGTTATACATTTCTCTCTATTACCATACATAAATAATTTAGCAAAAAATACGATATGATAACTGAAATTAATTAAAAATTAGATCGGAAAATAGTATCGTTCAAATTGACTAAAATTGATATACTTATTTAGCTATCCAGACTGATTTCTTTTAGTGTCATCCCCCCCAGTATACTTATAAAATAAGTAAAAACGATTGTTATTAACTCCTAAATTTTACATTTGCAAAAGAACGAATGTGCAAATTCTTAAATTAATTATTATTCAAATTCCATTTGTTGAATTAACAAACTTTATCATAAATAGGTCTGTGTATCAGAATTAAGCTATTTTATTGGTGTAAAAAACTTATATAATTTTATTATAAATTTTTTCCTATTCGTTTATTCACTATCTTTTTTTATAGCTTTGTATTACAATTTTTCTATGTTATGCGATTGATATAAATTCTGCGTCTTTAATATTTTTTTAAATAAATATTTGTTAAATATTTTTTTAAATAACTTTTCATTTCGGTGCGCGTTTTTGTGTAAAACTGTTTTTACAAAATTGCAAAAGTAACATTGAAAGGGGAATTCAGCGTGAAAGATTTCGACCACAGGTGTAAAATCGCTCGCCGTTGCAGCAGCCTAGGATTTTTGTGCAGTCTTGCCTAGCAGCGCGAGCCCTGTTTAAAAAGAAAATAAACATACTCTCAGTCTTTTTTAGAGATAAATTAACCGTAAATGAATTAATAAACCATTAAATTCATGCATTTAATGGTTAGCCTTGCCGTCTTCATGACTAGACCTTAACGATTGACTTAGAGCTGAACTCATAGGACCCTATCTCTTATAAGAAAAAAGCAGCTTAAGTCAATTTCCTCTTAAACTGCTTATTACACAAATCTATTTAGTGATTTTTCGAAGTTTTTTCACGACGCTAACTGACTTTTCCTAGATAGATGTGATTGAACTTAGCAAAATTTCAAACAGCTCATTGATGGAGTGAACTGTGTGCTAAGACTAAGCTTAAGACTCAATGATAAACATTACCATTTTATTTACCATTAAAAATTGCTTACTCTTCATCCCGCAGTTGTTTACTCTTCGTAGCTATCGATAAGTGTTATCCTCGCGACTTCGACTTACAAGGAAACCCCCCCAACCCGACCTCACCGATTTCAATAATCTTTTGATATGTTATAGTTCATCAAAAAATAAGACATACGTATTTTTTTTTATCGGCGGAAAAACACTTTGAGGGGGTGAAAACAACCCTCAAAGTTCACCCCCAAAAATAGATTTTCCAATGTATCTCAGCATCTAATTGATATTTTACGACCAAACAAATTTCATATCACTTCTCATGTGAAAAGCAAACTAGCACATGCAATTCCGACCACAAGGGATGCAACCCTTATTTTTTTTATTTAAAATACTATCTATTTCATGGCTATTTTTATGAAAAAAATTAAAATAACCCGAAAAAAATTGGAAAAAATATTACCCTACATAAAATACAAAAATAAAGTTAATCTAGTCAAGCTTTTTTTCAAACTACCCCCTTAAAGTTGAAAAACCACCCCTAAAAAATTGTTTTCAATACATTACAGGTGGTGTTGATAATTTAGTGTAAAATACGTTAAGCATCATTTATACTGTACAAACACAACTATCTCGTGCAGTTTCAACCACAAGGGTTGCAACCCCTAATTTCTGTCATCGAAAATTTTACCTTCTTTGTACCTATTCTTGAAGAAAAGTTCATAATGAGCTTAAAAAAATTAGAAAAAATATTACCATGGATAGAATAAGAAAAAAAAATTTACTTCTCATTTTCAAAACCACCCCTAATTTCGAAAAACCACTCCCAAAAAATTGTTTCCAATACATTACAGGTCCTGTTGATAATTTACTGTAAAATACGTTGCTCATCACTTATAATGTACAAACACATTTATCTCGTGCAGTTTCGACCACGAGGGTTGCAACCCCTAATTTATGTCATCGAAATTTTTACCTTCTCCATTCCTATTTTTGAAAAAAAGTTCATAATGAGCTTAAAAAAATTGGAAAAAATATTACCGTGGATAGAATAAGAATAAAAAATTTACCTGTTCAAACTTATTTTCAAAACCACCCTCTATGTTGAAAAACCATCCTAAAAAAAGTTTCTGACATATCGTTGCAATCTCTTCTAAATCAAATAAGCTATGATTCCATAGCTATTTTGTTGCTCTCTTTTAAATTTTTTACGTTCTATCGTTTATTAATTCTATCAAAAAATAAATAACTTTTATTATATAAAAAAACAAGTCAAGAATAATATAATATTATAAGTATACCTAGAAGATAAGTATAGTTTCTCGGATGCGCAAAAATTTTGGTATATGAATGATAGTATTATCAGAATTTTATTTACGTCCTACTATCAGCGTCTCTGACGATTGTCTGTTATTTTCATGATTGATAAATATGAGTAAGTAATTCTTCATCAGTAGCCAACACAACTTTCTTGTTTTTGGACGTATTGTATCGACTATTGAACTAACAGCATAATAAATAGTAATAAGAATATAAGATTATTAGTACAAATAATAATAAGATACTATTTCGTTAATTCGTATTTCGTAGTACCTGCTACGTAAGTATAACTATAAAATTATTTTTTATATGCAAATAATTTTACGGCTTTTTAATATTTGTTATTAAAAAAATTGAAATTACACTGATTATGAGGATTTATTAATTAATGATATTTATAATTATTGTTTACTTATTGATTTGTTTATTATTATTGTTTATTAATTAATATGTTTACTTTTTAATTTATTAATTAATTTTTTTCATTAATGTTTTCTATAAGTTTGTTTATCATTATTGTTTCCTTATCAATTTGTTTATTTATTTGTTTTTATCCTAATTTGTTTATTTGTTATTCAGTTTATTTCTTATTCCCCAGCGATATCAGGAGAGAACTATACAGAGGAAAAATAAGGAAAAAAAGGGGACGGATGGATGGACGGATGCACGGAGAATTTCGCGCCTTCTGTTTAATATAATAGAAGATATATAAGATATATATATATATTTTTTTTTATTTCAGATTAAAAAATGAAAATTAACGCTCTGAACGTTTTAAATTTATTATTAGCTTACCTTCAAACTCTACAAATACCTGAAAGTGAGACAAATTATAAAGAGATTCAATTGTCGGAAAGAATTAAAAGCATTTTAATAGATTCCGTGAATGATTTCAATGAAGTAGATATGATCGTTGAAGATACTATACATTAGATTTTCACGAAGATTACAAAGATCATGCTGCAAAAATAGTAGAAGATGAAGTTCAACACCATTTTCCTGACGATTTCGAAGCACCCACCGACCATTGTACCAAAGACAATGAAGATGTCAGTTTTGAATATAAGCAAAGAGCCGTAGAATACTGGAGAAGTGGCAAAAAAAAAAATTTAAGTGTTGAAAGTGTACGTCAAAAATTTAAGAAAGTTTCATCTGTGAGTCAGTTGAAACGTTGGGCTCATACAGTCAACAAAGGTGGTACTTATAGAGAAAAAATTGCAAGAATTTGTCAGTACACTTTTGATAATTTTAAAGCAGCAGTAGACGCTGGTTACATCATTCATGATCGTGACATACGTCGATGGGCATTGCAAGCTCAAAAGATTATAGGATCAGAAGATGTAAGATTCAAAGCTTCGGATAACTGGCTTTGTAAATTCAAGAAAGCTCATAGAATAGTATCCCGGAAAATAAATAAGTTTATAACCAAGAAAACACTAGAAAGTAATTCAGAACTAACGATTAAAGCAAATACTTTTATTGCTGATGTTAAAGCAGGCATAAGAATAATTGGAATTCATAATGTGTTTAATTCTGATCAGAGCGGATTCCAACTGGAAATGCACTCCGGAAGAACGCTAGCGGTTGAAGGAGAAAAGCAGGTACAGTGTTTAGTACAGTCAGTTTCTTCAACAACCCACAGTTATACTATACAGCCACTCATATCAGCCGCAGGAAAATTACTGTCACCACTCTTTTTAGTTTTGAAGGAATCTAGCGGTGAGTTTGGACCCATTGTTGAAACCACTTTATTTAGACCCTAAAATGTTTACGTAGAAGCATCAAAATCTGGAAAGTTGACTACAGGTATACATAATCCCATCTAGTTACAATTAATGTCATTATAAATGATTTTACAAATAAGATTTTTGATTTTAGATCTCTTTAAAATATGGCTGCAAAAAGTATATTTCCCTAATGTAGGTTCCAATACGATGCTGTTGCTTGACTCCTGGAGCGGTCATTGTGACAGTGCCATAGAAACTGTAACTCCACGTGATAAAATTATAAATTTTAAAAAAATACCGACTGGCACAACGGGAAAAATTCAGCCACTTGATGTTTTTGGATTTCGCATATGGAAGAACTTTGTCCGCCAATTTTCAGATACCGTAATTTTGATGAATTATGATTTGGATTTACATAAAAGAAACAACATCATTAAACTTCAGTCGTTAGTCCACAATCAATTATCTTCACCAAGATATACTAATCTTTTTAAATATTCCTGGTTCAAGAGTGGTTACCTCACTAAAAAACCAGAAAATTTTGACAATCCTGTTGCTTACAGTTTTGGAGATTCCTGCAAT